GAGGGGGAGGTGGTGCTGTGTCTTCCTGGAGAACGAATCTTTAAGCAGAAGAGTTCACAGAGAAGGCAAATGGAAACTCCATGTAGAGTTTAAGCAAAGGTTAAGTACAGCAAGCTGTCCTTTAGAGCTTGTGGTCTGAACAAGAAGCAACAGCAGCAGGTATCCAGCAATGTCTAATGCCCTCTTATCTTCCAAGGGAGAGTTGATTAGCTTTTTTTAAAGCTTCCAGGGAATTACTTTTAGAATACGCTCTCTCTCTGAAAGGAGATGCTCAGATTGGTAGTGAGGCTCACATGTGCTACTTCCCAGTTTTTCCCCAGCTAGTTTTGCTTGCCAAGGTACAAAAGGCTTTCCCCTGCATCAGCCACCCTGCCTTGTGGGGTGGCTGTGACGGTCGCCCCAGTGCTGCCATCCCGCTACAGGGTGGGTGCCTGCAGGGGGTTGTTCTCCACCAGCTGCACTGAGGCTGTGATGCTTCATGCAGAACCCGGTGCTGTGGTCATCGTCCTTTTTTAGTGTCATTTAAATGTAGCCCACTGGTCCTAGTTTCCATTGGCTTGTGTGTACCCATGTGCACCAGTGCTGTGCTTTGCACCTTTGCAGTTGACTTGGATAAAGTAGCTGTGGGGGCATTTCTGCTCCCCTGGCTGCTCACAGCGCATCGCTTCCATGTGGCCGCAAGCAGGTTCCCTGCAGTCCTCAGGCACCTCTTACTCTAAATTAACGAGGAAGCATTAAAATGGGCTGATCGCACTGCTCCATTAGGGTTTTCCCTGGGCTCCTCTCAAATCAATGCTCCCTCTGAAGCTGCACCATTACCTGGCTCCCAGGGGCGTTCAGAGCCAGCTGCCTCCTGCCCGGTGTGGGGACCGTCCCCAGACAGGACGCTGTGGGGGTGGGCTTCCCGAAGCTGTGAGGAAGAAATGGGGGTGGTTGGTGGGAGGTCGAGCGTTCCCCCTGCACCTGTGTTATGCTCACTTGGAGGAGGCTAATGAAATGAAGGAATTAGTATGTTTATTAATGAGCCAGGGAAGGGAAATAGCTTTGGCTGTTACAAACCCCCAGAGCCACCAGGACTTTAAAAGTCTGGGGAGCTGGGAGGGTTTTGGTTGTGTTGTGTGTCCTGATAGCAGTTTTTGGTGGACTGGCAGATTCTCCTAAAACTAAGTAAAAAAAAACCAACAACCCATTCCACCCCAACAAAAACAAACCAAAAAAAAAAAGCTATTTTTATTGTTTTTGTGGCTTGATATTTCACGCTGCAGCCTGTTCTGGGACAGTGCATGTATGTGATGAGAAATGAGAGTGCACTGCACAGTTCTTGCACTGAATATACTTAAGATAAGGACTCGTGTGTTTATGATGCTTCTGATAGCACTCAAAGCTGCAGAGCCCAAGGACAAGAGCTGACAGCTTCATTCTGTCAATTTGCTTTGAATTCCACATTCATAATTTCGCAGCGGGAGGCAGCCACCTATTCCTGCTGTTGCTCAACATTAGCCTGGCACACGTGCTTTGACGTGCCACCTTCCTCTGACTCTCACTCTCGCAGGGTGAAAGAAAGAGCTTGGGGAACTGAGTCTGTGTGTTTCTTAGCTTGCAGCTGGGACTTGGAAAAGGGGAAGGAAGGAAACATGATTTCTGAGATGTTTCACAGGACCACTTGTGGCCCAGAAGACTTTGGCAGATGGTTTGTGAAAGTCTTTCCCCCCTCATAAACGCACGCGATTCTGCCCCTGCAAATGAGCAGGCAATCTGTTACTTCTACGTTCTCTCACTTTGTTTAATGTTCAAATCCCAGACGGATTTTTGACTAAAAATGACAGTCATTTGGCTGTGACTTCACAAGATGGGTTGCAGGTTTATCTTTTTTTTTCTGAGAAGGTTAATTGGTCCTTGAATAAATAATTAAGTAAAAACTTGTGTATTCTGCTCAAACTTTCCAGCTTCTAGCTATGCAGATTTCATATGCTGCCCCATTTCGGGTCCACGGTTGTGGGAAGGCTTGCATGGTTTGCAGCTTCATCCCTTATAGGCTCCTGCAAAGCCCCATTGCTGTGTGGAGCCCAGGGCCGGTGGCTGAGGGAGCTGCAGGTTCAGTTTGTGTCTGCCTGGGGATGGCTCTGCTGCTCGGCCTGGTCACACAGCCCTGGTCCACCCGGGTGCTTTGCTTTTTGAGTGCTGTCTCAGATGATGCCATTGTTCCTGCTGTCACTCGGGCCCTCCTCTCCCATTCAGCGCGCTTCAGCATCCTGGAAAAAAAGCCTTGATCCTGGACTTGCTCTTCTCAGAGTTCAATAGGCTTCACCAGCTGAAAGGCGGGCTTTGAAAAGGACAGGGGGGGCTTTTCAGAGCTGGGGAAAAATCAAAGGAAATCATCACCAATGGCTGCTTAAAATAACCGACCTTTTCCTGCTTCTCTCCTCTGCTTTGCATTCCTGTGCAGAGCGTGGGTGCAGCGGTGGAGCTTTTGTCGTTACTTTTGTGCCCTGTGTCCCACAATGTTTGCATATCCGTCATTTCCCAATGGCAGATCCCCTCTCTGCAGACTCCACGAGGCTCAGAGGGCACCTTTTGGGCATGATGTGTGCCCCGTGCGTCTTCCTGCTCTCCTGCCAGTCTGCCCCTTGCAGGGGTGGTGACGCCAGCCAGCGCAGAGTGCAGGACGTGGCATGGCAAAGGACAGAGCCTCTTATGCATCAGCCAAGGTCTAGGGGGAGGCTGGACTCTTTTATTGGTACCACTAATAAGTTTGGAAAAATGGGTGTGTTTTCAGGCATACAAACACTTCCAAGGGTGTCTCATCTCTTGTTTCTCTGACTCCTTTTTCCTTGCAGCATGCAGCTGGGTTTAACTCGTGCCATCTCTGGACGTGGTCCTTTGGCTGTGTGGAGGCCCAGCAGCTCCATCCCATTCAGCCAGCCCTTTGCCCTGCAGTGCATCCTTGCTTTGTGCCACTCTGCTGTGCGAGATCCCCTCCCGCCAAAAACCCAAGAGGCAAAGAAAACAGCCCAAAATGTGGTGTCTGTTTTTCTGACTCCTTTCCTACCCATAGTTTTTAAGCCTGTCCGGTGATTTGGGGAGGGCAACAGGCTTGGTGTATTCTTCTGCAGGACTTGGGTTTGGCAAAGCAGAGAGGAAACACACCCAAGGGTGGGCAGTGGGGACACAAGGGAAGATGCTGCAGAAACTGTGCCTACAGCTGCAGGAGGAGCTGCTTGGGGAGGGAACCATAGGTGCAGAGGGGACTGGTGGCAGTGCCTCTTCCCACTATGCTGCAAACCAGAAACTGCAGAGCCTGGCTCCCTGTGCTCCTGCGTGCTTCCTCTCTTACTCTGTATTGTACAGCAGCCTGAGCAAACAAACTGTGCTGCTCTTGATAATGAAACAGGTGACATTACTAATTTATTTGCCCACCCAAATGCAGGATGTAATAGAACGGAATTAATCTGTTCTCCTCGCACATCAGATGCTTGTAGCTTTGGGCGGTGGGGGTGCTTTTTGCCTCTGGTGTGTTGCTAACTGGTAGTTTAGCTGATGCTTCAGTGTGGTGCAGGGCAAAGATAAATGAGGTGCTGCTAGGAACGGATGTTTTGTAGGTATGTGGTCGGACCCAAGCCTGGATGTGGGTGGTGGGATGAGTCTCAAGGGAAATGGTGTTGGCTATAGTGCCTTTGTCATCCCTGAGTCCTCCTCACAGCAAGGCATGACAGGTTCCAGCAGAAATAGCCTGGGGTGGGTCAAAAGGAGAGATTTCCAGGACCAAACAGGCCTGGTGGTGATGTGGTGGGACGGTCGTCCCTTGTTGGTCTCCTGGAGGAGATGGGCACAAATCCACCCACAGCAGGGACTGCAGCAGTGCTGCACAGCCGGCACTGAGTCATGGGGCAGTGGCTGTGCGGGAGAGCTTTAATGAGGCATTTTGGATTCTCACCACTGCAGCCACTCACCGAATCATCTGTATGCTAATGAGCTAATTTGTGTCATTAACAGAGACCTGTTAATCAAGACCTCCCATGGCATGGCTGGGCTGTAGCAATAATGCTTGCTGTATTTTAGGCCATGTTTTTCTTTTGTTTTTTCTTTCTTTTTTTTTTTTTTTTTTTAAATTAGCAATACGTATGATGCTTATCTCTTGGTACCCGCAGTGCAGGCTCTGCAGATGCTGAGCTGCCTTGAGCTGTAGGATGGAGGTCTCAGAATTGGTATTTGGAGGGAAGATATTTCCTAAAAATCTGGCTAGAGAGGTGCAGCATGGCATCCCAAGGTGCTACAAGTAGTAGGGAATACCTTAAGCCCCCCTTGTTCTGCCAACATGAGTTTAACCTGACATATGGGAGCTCTGTCAGGCATGCCTGCGGCTATGAGGAACCCCTTGATGCCCAAAAATGTTTCCTGAGTTTTCCTGCCGTAGAGGGGGTGTTCATACAAGAGCTGGTTTGCATCCTTAGGGCAACACTTTGCTTTCAGACACTGGTGTATAAAAGGGAGGGAGCAGACTGACCGTCATCCTGATCTGCAAACCAGGGCTCAGCAGGATGGGGGTGCTCAGCCTGTGCCCTGGCGAGGCTGTGGTGCAGGACTGTCCCCAGACACCTCCATCTCTCTTGGGACAGGCCACTTCACCTTCCAAGGTGAGATGTGTGATGTCTTTAAAAGGCTTCAATCAGAAACAAATGGGTCCATACTTGCAGGGAGAGCAAGTGCCTTGGTGTGTTCTCTACTAACCATCTCACTGTAAAATTTGTCACTGAAACTACCTTACACATGGGGACTGAAGTGAAAAGTAACTTAGGGTCCTAAATCCGCTTTGAGAATGGTTTGGGCACTTTGGGGTTGGTGGAGGTGGACAGCAGCACATGGGTTCCTAACTCTCCTGTATTTTTGCTGCATGCCTTTTTAAAGAGTCATTGTGCAGGCGGCAGTGTGCATCTCAGCTGTCTTCCTGCAGTTTTTCTGGCCATGAAATTTCCTCATGCTGCTGTGTTTGTGTTTTCCAGATTAGCCGGTTGTGTGGCCACGCTCAGCAGAGGCAGTATCGATCAGCTAATTACCCCGAAGACCTCTTTATTGACAAGAAAGTCCTGAAGGTGACTCACATAGAGCCAGAGGAGACTCTGTCAAGCAGGAGGAGGTGAGAGTGCTCAAGCTGAACACGGTGCCTGCGTGATGTGGTGCAGGGGCAGTTCCCCTATGGGTTGGCCCCGTGGAAGGAGATGGAAGAGCCCTTTTTCCCCTTACTGATTGCAGTTGGTTTTGACACTGAACACCAGAGCTGCTCTGGGACTGACTGAAGCACATCGAGGAGTCTACACCTGTGTTTTCTCACCTAATGCATCTACGCTGATGTTATTTTTTTTTTAACTTATAAAACCGCCCCCTGCTTTTCATCTTTGTTTCGCTTCTGTGCAATGCGTTAGGCATGGCACCAAGGTTCATACACAAAATGCCATGTCTGGGTTTCTTGGGCATTGCTATAGTGCCAAATATGCTCACAGGTACAGTTATAGGTATAAAAGCTCTAGACTAAATCATAGCATGAAACAGTGTGTAGGCTAGGGGGCCTATTTCACTTTATTTCTGTGCAGCTTTTTACAGTAGTTGAGGAATGTTAACAGCCTTTTTCTTTGAATATTTTCAAAGCGAAGCAGGTGCCGCCACTCCTGGCATTGCAGCCTGTGCTTCCTTCCTGCAGGGCTGCACGCTGTAAGAAGAAGCTGTAATTCAGTGGGCTCATGCTGGTGTGGTAGGGGAAGCAGCCCCCCGTGCATCCCCTATGGATCTGACAGTGCACCAGGAAGCATGCTGTGCTTTTACTGCTATCTTGAATATGAAAAAAATCTCTGCAGAAGAGAAAAGGGCAGATTCAGCCCTTTTTGGAACTGGGGATGGACTAACTTGGATAGATTTTCCTTTACAGAGCAACAGGGCCACATTCCTGGTACGGTTCCCATGAGATAGCACTAGGGCTTGCATTCCTCCCTTGTCTCGACATGTCGGAGGGTTACGCAGCCCAGGCGCTGCCGGGGACGTCGTTTGAGGGCTGTGCAGACTAATGAAATCTGCTGCAACAAATTAAGTGAGCTCATACCTGCAGATACGGAGGAGTTTCTCCTTTTTCCTCTCTGCCCTCGCTGAGAGAGCCCTGCTGGGAGCTGCGGTCAGCAGGAAGGTTTCCTTCTGTCTGTTCTCCCTGATGCCTTTGGGGTCTGTGGGTTGGGGAGCAGGGCTGAGCTGGGTGTGATATGCTGTGTAGGACCTGTCCTGCTCAGGGCTTGGCAGAACTGAAGACCCAGGGCTTGCTTCACTTTGCATGGCAAGGTTGGACCTCTCTCCACACAGTAAGCACAGTGCAGTGTAGAAGGTGCTTGTCCAAAGCACCCCTTAGATGTGTGCAGGGAGGTTGTAGGCTGAACTAGCAACCCGCTGGAAAGGTTTTGGACCTTCCAACCAAACCCTTGGCTATTGGCATTGCTAGGGACAGATGGGCTGGAGCTTGCAGGGTGCTGGCAGGCTGTGCTGTGGTGGGCTGGGGGAGGACTCGGGTTGCCTCTGTCTGCTGTGAGCTCTGACTGCACGGCTGTGTCGGTCTGATCCGGGCAGGAACACAGCCTGGACAGCAAAACACGAGAGCTAGCGAGCAGGCTGCCTTCCCTGGCTCTGGGGCGGCTTTTCCTTGTTTCGTCTGCCCCCAGCTGGCAGCTGGGAGCTTGGACTGGAGAAGAGACCCCAAGTGTCCGGGAACCCCAGCAAACTCCTGCTCGGGGAAATGGGAGAGGGATGGAGGGAGCCTGGTCCCTCCTGCACCCCAGCCTGCAGCCACCCCTCGAGAGCAGCTCTCAAGTTTTAGTTCTTCCAGGCCAAGTTTTAGTTCTTCCAGTCTCTGCTATTCATGTTTTTGTGCTCTTGACAACATTTACCTAAGTCCTTTGGTGTTTCCTGGTGAAAGCTTCCAAGTGCTCCTTTACTTTGCAAGGGGAAGACCTGGGCTGGGAGGACCAGCACATCCCATGCCCATAGCCCCTGCCCCATTTCTGGCTGCTCTCAAAGCCCTGTGTCAGTTCATGTCATGGGTGCAGCCAGATCTGTGGTTCTGCAGGCTCCTGCTCCCCCAGTCCTGCCTTCCTATGGCAGACCTGTGTTCCTGAGTGTAACCTGCCCCTTTGAATGCCGACTGTGATCCCGTAGCCAGCTTGGCATATGTCTATAAATCATGCATCTTTGAGAATGCAGCATGAAACCCATTGTTACCCTGTACAGGTCCGTGCTGAGAGTGTCTGCTCTGATCTGCCACCATGATCTTTACTTCCTTTGACTGAGAATCATTTTTTCCCTTTTCTTCCAGGGAACTCATTATGAAGCTGAAGTCTCACAGCAATTTTTACAGCAGCTTGCCAGAATACATCTGCACCCACAGCTCCGCTGTTCAGAACGACACTTTTTGCTGGAACGGACAAGAAGTCGTGGAGAGGTGAATCATGTCTCCCTTCCCCTCCCTTTCCCCAGCACTGCTCATCTTTAGTTAACCAGGTGCGGGAGTGGTCTCTGGCCAGGACATTGCTCATTCCCTTAAACCTTTAGCAGAACTGGTGTTCGCTTGTGCTGCAGCTCAGGTCGATGAGCAAAGCTTATGTGAAAGGGAGAAGTGGTTGTGTGCCGCCCTCCACTGAGCTTTCTGTGCTCTGCTGTGAAAACCCTGAAGCTACAAGCATTTTTATATTTTATTTTTTATTTTTTTTTGTGGTGGGTTGGTAGCAGTGGGCTGGAGAAAGGGGAGAAGCAGCAGCTCAGCACAGCACTGCTCCCTGGGAGCAGCAGTAGGTCTGCGGAGGGGCATGTGCAGAGGGTTTTGAGAGTGTCCAAGTAGTAATGGTAAGGTGAATGCAGGCAGGCAAGAACAGGATTAATAGCATAAAGGGGAATGAAGTGTTAATAGAGATGGAACATTCCCTTGCAAAAAATGCCCCTTAGGAATGTTAAAGAATGTGGAAATAGAACTTGGAAGTGTTTTTTTATAATTATATATAAATCTCCTCTAATAACCCTACTCTGCAAAGCATCCTTTGCTATTAAATAGTTTGCATAAGGGAAGAAATAGAAATAAATTCAGGAAGTTGTGAAATGTTGAAACATTAATTATGACTTCTTGATCAGTAACCTCCGGTGGTAATTAGCCTGCACTTGCAATACTGACCTGAAATACTGAAGGGACTAAAATAGCGTCAATATGTATTTTTAAAAAATTACTCAAGCATCTAACACCAGACACTTTAATAAAATGTACCTACTTTCTACTTTGCCTAAGGAAAAATGTGTCCTCTATCTGTACCTAGTTCTGGGAAATCTTCTTTGCCTAAGAGAAGTGCAACTGGAGGGGAAAACATTTCAATATTGCCTCACTGGTTGTTAATCAAAAAAAAAAATTAAATCTCAAAACAGTACCACAAACACTGCGGTTTTGCGGGGGGGGGACCTATGGTGAGATCTCTGCTTACAGAAGTTTGCCGGGGCCCTGCTCCAGGCGTTGCTGAAATCACTGCTGGGTGAAGTGGCAGCAGTGGAAAAATGATGAGTTCCCATCCTCCTACAAATGTAAGCTCAACGTTATTTGCAGATTAAAAAATGGTTTTAGATGATAGCCTGTCTTAGCTTTTTTGCTGAGAATACCAGTAGACTGTCAAAGGCAGAGATGTCACCCTAGATTTTCTGCCACCATGCTGTGGCATTTGTGGCATGATATGGTAGGTCACATAGGTGCCACAGCATGCAGGTGGGGCAAGGCAAGGAGAAAATGAAGTATATATACACAAAAGGGTTACCATGTTTTCAGCTCTCAACTGCCTGCCTGAATATTACGTTGAGGATGACATCCTCTGCTCTTCTTGAAGACACTGACTTTCCACCCCTCTCCTCCTTCCCCCCACTCCCATTTATCATGCGGATGTAGCCTCCTCTCCTAGCTCCTATGAAATAATAGTAACAGCTCCTTTGCAGTCAGAAAATATTTTTTTTCTGTGAGATGAGTGTGAAAACCCCCATCCCCTTCCTGTGCCGTGGAGGGAGCACAGCTGCCCTGGACAGGAAAACTTGCTGGCTGGGCACAGAAGTGGTAAGGATGGCTGCTTGCATGGAGGAAGAAATTTGAGCACTCCTGCACAGGCAGGATGTTTGGTAGGGATGACAAATAGATGCACAAAATGGAAATAGTTCTTGCCCCTTAAATGCCTGGACTTTTCTGCCACTTATTTTTAAGTCTTTCTTGCCATGTATTTTTAGCATGTGCACCTGTAGTGCTTCCCAGGGCGACCCTCTCTCCTCCATAAGCTACTAAAGTCTGTCATATGTGGCAGTGTTTCTGCTGATGAAACTACAGGATACACCTCAGCTAAATAAAGCTGAACTAAGGCTTCATTTGCAAAATGTGTTTCAAGTTGAAAGAAATGTAATTAAATTGTATCTAAAGCCAATTGTGCTGCTTCATGTGGAGCCAAAACAGTCCAAACTGAGAGCTTCAGGTGTTTGGACTTCCCTGCATGGTATCTTTTCCAGAGAGTCTGAGAGGATTCCTGAAAAAAAGGTACATTCAAGCTAACAGTGTTTGAGTACCCCTAACCACCAGTTTTTTCAGTCTTTTCCCCAAGAGGGAGCCAAGCAACTGTTCATTACATAGATCTTTCTTAAACTGCTCTGAGAATGCCCGTTATATGCTTGAGTTTCTGGCAGAGATAAAGTAGTCCTCCTGCTGGACTAATATGCAATTGTCGGTCATTCAAATTCCAGCTTGCTGCTTTTTACAAGAAACTTGGTGTTTTTGAATCTCTTGTATTAATTTCAGGAAGCTGACAATGTAGTTTGTCCCTTATGTGTTACTGCTGCCAAACAAGGGGCTGATTCTTCTAGGATTTTTACATATAAAATATACTCTATATTGTCATGTTTCCACGTTGCTTTATTGGATACTGGCTTTGGAGGATGCTGACAGGAGAGATGCTCATTCCTTGCATTTAACCTGAGCTGCTATTGCTGTGTTTTTTCTGAATCAGTATTTACTCTGTCCTGTTTATCCCAGTGCTCTGTTACCAGCAGAGAGTGACCATGTCCTGGTCTGGATGTGCTCAGTGCTTTTTTTCCCACTGCATCTCATTTCCCATTTTGAGCCTTGAACCATTCTCAGTTTCCTCCTTGCCCTTTACTCTCTCTGCCCCGATTGACCACAGCACGTGCATTTGGGACTCTGAGGCACTGCAGCCAGCAGTGCTTTCCTCATCATACAGCAAACTGTGAGCAAGGTCTGACTGTACCTGGGCTATGTTCTTGTTTCGTCCTTGGCTCTGGGGCATCCCACCTGCATGGTGCAGTCCCTAGTAACCCCCATGAAGTTAAGAGGTCTGAGGACCTGCTTGGCAGAGGGCTTTCCACAATGTGTCTTGCAGCAGGGATGATGTGCAATCTGCTCTGCTGATGGCTCAGCATCACTCACCCTGCTTTGTATATTTTAACATTAAAAAAAAATGATGCATTCCACACTGTCTTTTACAGTGTGGTCCTTTGTCCACCTCATGTAGTTCTTGTTGGACCATTTAATAGCAAGAATTTGTCCTCCTTCCTGAGGTTTGATCTGTGAGGTGTTCTCTTTTGTGTGTTTAAGACATGGTGCTTTGACCTGTCAGAAATATCTTGCAAATGCTGGTGACTGTATAAGGACAACAGATTTCTGTGGCCACGTACTAAGCAGCACCTTTTGCTGTGCTGTTGCTGTGTGGTTGAAGAACATAAACCAAAGTAGGAAGGGAAAAGAAAAGGCATCAAATTGCTGCTTTTCAAACTTCTCAAAGTGTGCAAAAATGTTCTATGCTTTTATGAGAAGCCACAAATGTTCACAGCAAAAGCTGCACGTGGCACACTCTACCCCTTGTCAAGAACTTGTGAGGGGTTATAGTGCTTTGATGTTTGTGGTAGCTGGTGACTGGACCTGCTGGATCTTCCCCTGACCCTCTGCATCCCTGTGCACCTCTCTGCAGTTTTTCGGGGCTCAATTAACTGACAGGCACTTCTCTGAGATTGCAGAGGGCTGGATGTACAGACAGGGTGGGTGTGCAATAGCTTGAGCAGGCTGGTGAGCTAGATTTTTGCTGACCTGGAGACAAACTGATGCTCCAAAGCAAAACTTCTGCTGGATCCTGACTCTGCCTGTGAGAGTTGCCAGCTGCAAAGTGAGTTGGGGGCGAGGGCAGATGGGTGGGAGTGAGAGTTGGGACTGCATTGGACTGCGTCTGAGTCCTAGTAGTGTGGGGCTGCTGTTTTTTGTGCAGTGCTCCAAAATAACAAATCTGGTGTGCTCAGTTGCCAGGAGGCTTTGTGTCAGCATGTGTGTCAGACAGCTAGCTGTATTGATGGGAAACAGGCAAACAAGGGAATATGTTGTCCGGCTTCTCTTATCCCTTTCTCCATACAGTGCAGACTAAGAACAGAGGAGGATTCCTATCACAGAAGTCCTGTCTGAATAATTAGCTTGTGTAAAGACTTCAACTTAAGTCAAGTGGGTGTTGAGATATTGAACTCATCTCAGTTTCTGTGGGAGTTAGGCATCTAAATCTCAGAGGTGATTTGGACCTTATATATAGCATCAGGCTTTTGCAGCATTTAATACTAAAAGCCTATTAAAACCTAGACTCTCAGTTTAATAATCTGCTTACAGTAGTATATTCCTTTCAAGCTGTTATGAATAGAATGACAGCAACATTTGCCTGCTGCAAGACTTGTAAGTACATTAAGTATTACTGTTAGATATTGCCATTTCCAAATTGTTAAAGACAAACTTGTACATTAATCTAAATTATCCACATAACTCTTGTTCTCTTTATACCAATTCCAAATTAATATATTTTTAGCACCTTGCCAGATTCTTTTCTTCATGCTAGAAGTCTCAGATTTCCCTGTTTTTGCCAATATACTGTGGTTTGTTTTAATCATACAAATCATAAACAATGAAAGCACAATTGGAAGCAAGGGAGAAAAATGAGATTCTGTAATTGGAACAAAGGAAATTCCATGCCAGCAATAACCCTTTAGCTCATGAAGGGCTTGGTTATTTCTGGCAGTGCTGCAAAATATCTGATACAATGGAGTCCCCAAAGAGGGAGGCTGTATAACTTTTCAAGCACATAAAACACAGCTTTGTAGCAAATGTAAGCTATAATGAAAGGATAGTAGGCAAATTCAGTCAGTTATTGAGTGGCCATAATTGTTTCCAGAGTATTGCAAAAATGAGGATCATGAATCTTCCTATATTAAGCCTGCTGCTTGGTCTCAGGTTTAACCAATTCTTCCAAAATCTATTTGTCTTGAACTTTACTGAACTGATGTGAGAATGGAGGGAGTCTTCAGGCTGTCCTTTTACACTTTAAACTCCCATTGTTTTGCTATGAATATTACAGTATTTGCTTTTCTTACTGGAGACTTCACATTTAA